ACCGTAACAAACGGGTCACAGAGCGTGGGCGATCTTTCCTTCTCCTTCCTTGGCTTTTCGTCCTCCTTACTTACACACACGGACACTCACATACATTACACTACCACACATGGTGGGAGACCAGTTGGGAGCTTCGATCATGCTCCGGTTGGGGCGGTGTCCCGCTGATGGGAGACTCCTGGTTGGGAAAACCCCACAAGCCGACGTGCAGGCCGGCGCCGGATCTTCCCAACTAGCTAGAGATATTCACCACCATCTCCCGCGGTAAACAAATATGCACTGTACGTGTGACTAATAACATCGAATCTTCTTCAATCGAAGCTTCTCGTTAGCACCATGGGCGATAATTCCTTGAACATGATTTTTGCTACAGTGATACGATAGGATAGTATAGCGGTAACTGTGTACCCTTGACCCAGTTCAGCGAGATTGACCCCCACCCTTGCAGCGGGAAATCTTTCAATACTGCTGTTTTGGTCCTTCAACACTGCGGGTACTGCACGGTTCTGCAAAAGCGATGGCCTCAATGGCGGTTACAAGTGTACTTGCCCTAGTGAAACACCTCCAGGGAAGGACAGGAAACAAATTGCGTTGTGGGCCATTTGCATTGTTATTTCGCTGCCATTCACTGTTCATGCCAGATGTAATCTTTGGAAACGCTCCCCGAGATTGGTAGTTGGTACCAAGATAATATCGTAATGACCGAGAAACGAAGTTGGTAAGCGTAAAAGATTGAGATCTGCGTTCAATAAAAGGAGTGTGTGTCATTAAATGCATTAACAGATACCAAATGAAACCTTAGAACCAAATAAATACATATTCAATATTATTTTTTTACATGAGATCCACAAAAGTGCAAATCATACATACATGTACACGAAAATGTAGAAACTAGTAGCTTGCAGCAAAAAAAAAACAAACAACAACAAAAAACAACACCATTCTACAAAACCATACAAAATATTTTTCTAAAATGTAGCACGCATATTGTTCAATGGCAACAAATAAAATACCTTTGTGTAACATTGCAGTAAATGAAATATTATAATAAAAATTTCAATGATATATCATATGTTAAAGCTTGTTTCAAGTTTGAGAATAAATCTATATTTTATGATATATGATGTTAAGTTAATCTGACAATATTTACATTCATACATATCAAAAAATAATTAAATAGAAAAATTGGGGGCGTTTATGAGAAAATTTTCTAAAAACACATATATTTCACGCAAATAGTGAAATTATTCACATTTTTGGAAAACTGTACTTTCGTTTATTTTCCTTGTCCTATTCTCACCCCGTGTCATATCATCACTGCCGCTCTTTCTCCCTCCGGATATCTCCCCCAGTGGGGCACCACCCCGGCACCCGTTCGGGCAAAGGTGGCTAAGGGGATCAGCTGATGTCTCTGGAGTCACTTTTACCTGGAGGTCCTTTAATTTGGGACCCAACGATGGCACGATTTTCGGCATTAGCTTTTCAGCTAGGTCGATTTTAGCCGCTGTGTGGAGGAGAATTCTAGCGGCTGTCTGCTGTGATCGGTAGTTTTCTGCGGTTTCTCCAATCAATACCAGGTGGATGTTGGAGCAGTACCCTAACAAACGGACCACATGCTGGTCGCCATATTGCATGGAGACAGGGAAGTGTTCAGAAACATTTTGATAGTGGCACTAAATGACATTTTTCAACGGTGATAAAAAATCAGACGGTCAATGAAAAATAAGACGATGGAGGTCTAACAGAAATAAAGGATGCAATATTTTTTAATTTCTTAAAAACTTAATATATCTGTTTCAAAAGCTTACAACAGAGTAATAGTTGCATCTGCCTACATTTAAAATTCCCATTAATATTGTAACACAAACTGGTGCCTGCAAATCATTGGCTGAGTTGAATACGATACAAAATAGCTCTCCCCTTGTCTTTCCACCATTGTGGCACATTCCCGCCAAAAATTGTGACGTCATTTTGAACATCTCTCTCAACACCATCTGCAATACTCAGACCTTCATTTAAAAAACAAACATGGCCGCCGTATAGGTTGAGCGTGCTTTGCCTGCTAAGGAAGCAGACGCGGGAAAGTTGAATGTGAACAGAACTCATTTTAGAACTTCTTCGTAATAATTTTATTCCTGTACTGTTTCATTAACTTATTTTAATTACTACGTTTTTTTATCAAGTACTTGCAAAAACAGTGCAGATTATATGTTGCAGATTGGACATAACAGCACTGATTGTAATTTAAATGAAAAACTTATGGATATAGCAAAAAAGAAAAAAGTGTAGGCAAATTTGTAGATGATATTTTCCCTCTGTATCTCCTAAATAAGGGAGAAATGTTGAAATAAAACAAGTTAAAGTGGATATACATGAAAAGTTCCCCTATAGTTTAAAAATTCTTCAGATGTAGCAATTTACAATTTTAAATGTGCTCATAATAGAACTTGGTAATAATAATAATAATAATAATAATAATAATAATAATAATAATAGTAATAATAATAACAATAATAATACATTTTTACAGTAAAATTATAAAACAAGTTATATCATACGGTTATACTGCAGAGAAAATGTTAGCCTTTATTACTTAGCACGACACACATTAAGTATTTGGCTGATAAAAGTTCTGAAGAATTTTTCTTCAACATTTTACTGAAGATCATAATATTAATAGCGTCGTATAGAGAATTTAATTTTTTCCCATCATCTGGCTGTAAAGATAATTAAAAATCATTTACTATAAAGTGCATTATATGTGTAAAAAGGTACGCATATACAGCTTGAGATATCAATGGACATACCTTCAAATGTGTATAATAGGTAACACAAACATTTGAAAAAGCGTTGTCGAAGTCAAATATAGCACAACATAAAACCAAACATTTTCTCCGTAGTACCTAAATAGAATCAAAAGACGAGCAAACCAATCTGACTTCTGTATCAATTGTACTGTACATACTTAACATCAACATTAATTTAGTAATAATATGAGGGAATAGTATAGGCCAATGTATACACAATTTATTTATAACCAGTGGATGATTTATAAAATTTTAGGAACTGGAACGCGCCCAAAATTAATTATTAATTTAATAGAAATAGTTATATATTTATAACATAATTTAATAATATATTCTAGAGGTGCCAGTCCTGTTAACATAACCAGTTTCAATAAAATTTTACTAATATATTAAAGTTCAAGTGGAAATTCTTATAAATTCACTTTATTTTATTATCTGGGCTGAGATTTATTGGAAGTAATATTAATCTATATATGTACTTACAAAAAATGTTCAAAATATGGAGTAAACTATGAACAAAGTATTGAACAAAAAAGTTTAAAGTCATAAATATGCTGTACTAATTAAATGTTGAAGTTACATAAAATGGTCAGAGAACTAAGAGAACTAAGACTTTAGTATTGGCAGTAGAACAATACTTCATCATAAACCTAAATAATGATTTTGGTACTTGATTAAAATTATCAGTTTATTAGAGTAACTTTAACATCGAATGAACTTGTAGCCTTAACTAATAATTATTGATGGAAAGTTTATAGCCACCTCATTCCTCAATAAAAAGAAAGGTTTAATATTTCTATTTGTCACTTCTGTTTTAAAACGTTCAAAACCCGAAATGATATATGTATCACTTCAAGAAATTTTCATCACATCTTGCCAACACTCTTTTCGGTCATAATGCAAGATTTTGTCTCAAGAGGCACTCACAGTGTGGTATGAAGATTGATTGGAGAATATACGTAGTTGGGAGGGCATCCTTCCACATTTTTGGTTTATTTCGAGGAACAATTGCTTCGCCACCAACCACATTCTCTCTAATAACAAATTTTTTCCTAAAAATATTTTAGGCTGACAAACTAGTTTTCTGTCCCTACATAACAGGCACGGTGAATGCATTTCACCAATTTATCTCGCAGTATCGTATATTTCGGGAACTGAAATGCGGAAGTATTTGAAACATTGTATTTTGATGTATAAGACGCAGACCCAGAGCATAAGACGAGCGTCTGTTCAGTCCCTGTTTCGTGAAGATCACATCGCAGAAAATATGCTACTAAATCCCGACGTTTAGTCACAATACATCACTAAACCTCCTCATTCACGGAGAATTACGTAATCTACTTTTTTTAATTACTTGTAACCACATGGAACGCACGTGAGACACTCACAAACAGCACGCTACATCTCACCTGGTCCCGTCGCCATTTTGTCTGGTACAGATACCTAGGTGACTGAGTTATATATACTCTCTGACTGAGTATTGTAGATGGTCTCTCTGCACATCGCATCTCAAGTTTTCAAAACCCTTTCGATATGGCATCTTACAGATTCGATTTGGGCGAATCTAAACAAACATCGGAGTGGGATATACTAATCGTGAAGATGTGCCAATTAGTGCATCTGTTTATAATTATGCTTTGTCTAATAAGAATATTGGTCCATTTTAGAGAAATTAACCGTCGTTTTAGAGAACTGTAAATGGTAACATCAGTTCTAGAACTACTGTCATAAATATTTTTTAAGATGTTTGCAAATAATTTTTGTATTATGTAGTTATGTAACATAATATTATTAATGATTTCAGTTGTCGCAGAAAAACTACCGACCAGAAAGTATATTGTTCCAAAATCATTGTCTCAAGAACAAATTTACTCATTTGAGTTTCAGCGGGTTAGTTGGGACACTTTCAAACAAAATTGGATTTGTTTGGAACCGGATACAATAACTAGACCAAATAGTGAAATTCAAAATTTAATATAATATGACAAAATTTTAGTGTATATTATAAACTGTCTTATGAAATTCTGTTCAATGTGTCTCATTTTTGGATGATTATTTAATCAATGAAGCGAATAGTATATACGTGAATAATAAGTTAACATAACCTTCATAAAATTAAGAAGGCAGTTAGTCTGCTACTGCCAGTTGCAGACGATGCTCCAGCCTATAAATTATTGAAATAACTTGTGAAGCATGAAAAAATTGAATGAAATGTGTGGCAGTTTGCTTGCATTGAAATTGCAGGTGCTCTTGTAATAATCATAGAATGTAAACCATTAAAATGAAGGTGAGGTTATAACCTCAATGTTTATGAATAAACGTTTTGTATTAAAGATAAAAAAAAGTCATGAGACATTCTTCTTTATCCTTTCACCTATTTTATTTGCATCCTTAAGATATATTATACCCTTCACACTATTTTACAGAATTCACGTTTCATTCAGTAGATATTACACATGTTGTAAAGCAGATTGTTGATAATATGGTTGACGTTTATCCTGTAATACTCTATTGATGTTTTAAAATTATAAATTATATTTACATCTCTAGTATCTTTAAGTTGTTTCGATGCCATTCTTCTCTGTGATGGGACGTTTTAGCGAGGCAGAAATTTAAAATAAGAAAAATTGAAATTTAACAATATTTTCAAATGTATTTGGAATTTTGTTAGGAGACATGGATACATGTGGGGTTGCACTAAATATTGTGACCATATTATAGTAGTTAGTAATTTAATTTTGAATGCATTAAAAATACAAGAATATTTTATTTCAATATAAAATTAGAAAGAAATTAGTAATATTTTCTGAGACTGTGCAACTTCAATACTAAAAAATACAAGAAATTTGTTCTGTACTTTTATTTACCTCCTGCATTACTCCATTTCACTGTTATTGCTTTTTTTAGTACCATATTCGTATATAAATTTATACATAAATTTATCCACGTATAGAGCAACTTATCCTTAAAAAATACAATAGATTCATTAAACTCTCTGAAATTTCTAAAAATTGTAAAAGTTACTATAGTACCACCACTAGCTTTCATTCAGAAGATTTACATGTAATTGTTCGCGCAATAATATTTTGGAAGTAGTCTACACCTAAAGAATCCTATAGGCAGTGTGCACTTTGGTGCGTTTCCACATCTCAGATGAATTTTCTTGATGTGCTCCTTGGTTGTTTCTGTAGGTCATGGTGAGGATCTCGCCAGGATATTTAGCGCCTAGCATTTGAATGACGTCTCCTGTTTGGATCTTTTATTTAAAGAATGTTAAAAAAGTTTTTGTTGAAATTTGGTTGTTTTGTTGTAATTTGGTTGTTTTTTTGAAATTTGGTTGTTTTGTTGAAATTTGGTTTTGTTAAAATAAGGTTGTTTTGTTAAATTAAAGTTCTTATTTTAAAATTATTTTTTAAACATGGTAATTTTTTAAAATAAGGTTTTAAGGTTAAAATTGGGATTTTAGGGTAATATATGGATTTGAGATTAGAGTAAGAGTTTTAGGTTAGTGTAAGACTTTGAGGATACTACATTGAGCTTTCTGGTTGAAATTGATTCAGTTCGCATAGAAGAATACAATGTGTGTGTGCGCAACACAAAACACTTAATTCGTTTGTTGCCTTAGGGGGAAAATAATAATTTAAGAAAATTGCGGATTTATAATAAACTTCATAAGCTCGAAATTATGATTTAAATCATGGATTCAACTATTGTGTTTTAAACCCGCCAACGTAGGGCCTAAGTATAAAGATTTTGATAACTTTCGCAGATACTTGTAATACTCTTCACAAATACTGTTTAAATTTTGTGATTGAAGTTTCGTTCTAGGAAAATGTGTGTACGTATCATGCCAAAATATTCTTATTATAACTTGTGGTAGAACATTTGTTTGTCTATTTTTAGCAAGTTCTTCTCTCTTGAGCCTCGGGCACGTTACTACACTTCTCTCGCGCTTCGGTCATACAGTTGCGAAAATAGCGTGCTCTCAGCAATCCTCTGGAAGCTGTTCCGGGAAGCCATAAAGTTCCATAGAGGATATTTAGACTTAGCGAGCTAAAAATACACAATGGTGGGGGGGGAGGGAACGTTGAAAGGAAAGCCGAATTAATAATGTTGCCACAAATTGGGTGTTGAATCTTTCTTTCTGACAGATTTCACTTACTTATTAATTTTTGAAAAAAATAAAAATGTCCCCCGCCATTTGTGGTAGTGTAGTGTATGTACGTGAGTATAAGTAAGGGGTGAGGATAGCAGAAGGAAGAGGAAGGAAAGATCGTGCACGGTCCATGGCCCATGTTAGGGTATTGCTCTGGCATTCGCCTAGTGTTGATCGGATAGGCCACGAAAAAACACCGATCAGAGTAGCCGGTTACTAGAATTCTCCTCCAGATAGCGGCATAATTCGACCCAGCTGTGCACCTTGTGGCGCAAAGCCTGCCACTGTCGAGATTCGTACCCTATAACGTCTCTGTCAAAGGAACTGTAGAGACATCAATTGATGCTCTAAGCCACCGAAACCGGTACCCGACTGATCAGGTTAATCTTTTTCACGTTCGACACACATTTGGGGCTAAAGAGAACGTCGTTACGAATTAACGATGCAGAACTTAAAACAAATTCTAGATTTTTTTCGGGTATGCAACTAGCATTCATAGCAGGTAGCAAGTAAATCAGTAACAATGCAATAATAAATAAATTTATTAACTATAAAGTATATTGTTTTTTTCAATGAAAGGAGAAGTGAGAAATTCCAACAATTCTGCTCTTCTGAAAATTACGAAATTGCAAGACGTTTATTTTCAAGGTAATGATGCATCACAATGAAGAAAGTTTCAAAATTAAAAAAAATAACATAAACCTCCAATTGATGCAGGTAGTGTTGAATTCTAGCAACAATATCAGATCTTTTCAAGTTTCACCTTCAATAAGAGAACCCGAATATCACATTTAAAAAATTGTCACTTTAAAACATAACACATTAATTAGAAGATCGTATAATTGACTCGAGATAAATCACATTAATGAAAAATAAACAATAAGAGCTGTATTCCCTTGAAATTAAAGGTTTGTAATAGAAATTACAGCTGATATTACAAATCCATGGATCACATGATGATCGAAGGAAATGAAATTCAGAAACAAATAAAATTATAAAAAAAGACTAGATTTATTAAAAAATACTTATAAAGTTAATAATTGATTAAAATGTAATAGAATAACTATTAAAAGTACTAGATTTAACAATATCGAAAAATTGCATTGCTTTAAACGGTAAACAAGAGACATTAACTTGACAGGCACACAAAACAAATTGTCAGACCCAAAGACTTGACACATGTTTCCCATGTATGTTGACGCACTGAATCCGAATCTCAAGCCAGAATTGCATCACCACCTCCCAATATTTTGAAATCGCAAAAAACGATTGTGAAATTGTATTTATGTTGTTTTGGGTGGTTGTTGTCAGATCCATAGACTTGACATATGTTTCTCTATGTAATAAATCCGTATTGAAGCCAGAATTGCTCAACCACCCTCCAGTTTTTTTAAATAGAAAAACCCAATTAAATTTAAAATCTTTAATTTCACGATGAATTTTTTGCTATTTCAAACAACTGGGAGGTTTTGGCGCAATTCTGACTTCAGTGCGTCGACATACATAGAGAAACATGTGTCAAGTCTTTGGGTCTGAAAACAACCCCCGAAAACAAAATATGCAATGTCACAATATTTTATTGCGATTTAAAAAATGGAGGGTGGTGGCACAATTCTTGCTTCGGATTCCGAATCAACGCGTCGAAAGACTTAGAAAAACATGTTTCAGATTTTTGGGACTGACAATTTTTTTGTGTTTGCCTGTGCTATTAAACTCGCACAATTCTAGACATTTTTATATTCTTTGAAACTTTTCCTACTCCATATCCAACAGGACAAAGTAGAGGCTTGCCTCATTTTTCAAATTACGTTAAAATATATGGACATGAAAATATTTGAATAAGATCATAAAGGCATTGTTAAATAGTCGTAACTGCAGAAAATCAAATTTACATGGGCGCATTGTTCTCGAACGGATCAACCTCAGCACACGTCCATCGTGCGAGAAAACTAACTGCGTTCTTTAACAATAGCCAGCTACCGGTTCAACAAGATACTCATGCTAACAAGTGACTCCCTTTCTCATGCCCTGCAGCACGAGCCAGTAGCTAGAATTATTAAGCAACAATTACTCATAGATTCAGACGCCCCAGTAGCGTCACGAAATGAATTTGGGCCCGCCCGCAATACTTTTATCCACCCCCTTTATAAAAGTGTAAAACAAACAAAAGTAATGTTAGTTCTTTAAAAAATAAAAATATATTTCAACAAATTCGAATTTATCAGACTGTGATTAGTATCCAATAGTGGAAAATTCTGCTTTTATTATTAAATTTTATGAAATTATGACTGTTATAAACCTGAATGAATTGGTTTGATTTACTGATTTAGAAAATGTTACATAAGATACCAAATTAGAAAAAAATTGTTCTGGAAGATGCTGTTTTAAAAATCTTTAAAGGAATCAAATTGTGCAAAGTATCAGAAAAAGTATCAGGTAATTAGTTTTTCTTACAATCGCAAAACCTTCAACATAAAAATTGGCTCTATTTTACAAGGGCCCGCCCGCATTCCGGACCGAAAAGTTGTGCCACTGAGACACTCCTCAAAACAAAGAACGTCATTGGAAAAACAAATGCCTCTCTGCTCTAAGAAACATTCGCCCAGAAAAGTACACAATAAAATTCCTGAAATTATATCTCCCGTACTACAAATGTCGGTCTTTTTTTGCCTGTTGAATAGAAGAAGGTCAATTAGAAGTCAAATCTTTTCTGCTGCATAACTGTTTCTATACAATTAGAGACTATACTGTTTATCAAAAAGGAAAAATAAAAATTATTTTAACAAAACAGTGATATATATTGAATTAGTTTACATTTGTATTGTATAATTATTTTGAAAGACTTTATATGTTTGTAATAAATAATGTACTTCACCTTCCGGGACAATGATCTCGATCAGGTTTTTGTCCAGTTTCCCTGATCCATTGAGCAAATGCTGAGATGGCTCTTTGTTTTACTTCTGGACATAAATGTAGCTTCGTTATGCGCACGTTTTGTTGAACTCTCCTTTTGCTTATAATCGTAGGAGTAGAGGTAAGGGCGAGTTACTACTTTTTAGCAATGCAGAAAAATCATACTTTCAATTCG